GGGGGTCTCTGCCTCTACTCCAAAACGAATCTCTCATGTCAACAAGAAACAACTTTGGAACCAAATAAATTTGATGTCATGTGGTTTAAACTCGATGGCAAGAAACAGACCAAATACCTTTGTTGTCTCTACTCATCACCAAATGATCCATCCTATGAAGAGCTCTTCGAATTCTTGTCTCTGAAGCTTGACCAAATTCAACAGAACTATCCAGCAGCAGAAATCATCATCATGGGCGATTTCACTGTACACAACACTGCTTGCTCGTACACTCTAACGAAACGGATGAAGCTGGGCGACAGGCCGAAGCTTTCGCCATTACTCACTAATAATTCAGCACCCTACACCATAGATGTACGAGCTCCACTTCACACACTCATCTCCACAACCTGCCCATTCTTCATTCCATCAACTGCTCCGGCACCCCCACGTCTTATATGGCATTACAATTTAGGAGATTGGGACAGTCTTCGCATGTTTTTCTCCGAGTTTCCTTGGCATAGAGTATGCTTTGACTCTGAGGACCCTTCACAGTGTGCTGCGGAAATATCCGAGAACATCATGCTCGGAATGGACACATACATACCTAATTCTTCGAAAAGATCATCACCATCAAAACCCTGGTTCAACAAAAACTGTTCTAGAACAGTTGCTTTGGAACAAACAGCCTACCATCGCTGGCGCAGAAACCCTAACCTCGCGACTAGAGCAGAATACGTTGATGCCAGGAATAACTGCAGCCAAACAATAGATGCTTCGAAAGAAACATACAATGCCAAGATAAGATCGAAACTCATAGATTGTTCCAATGGCTCCCGTTCGTTTTGGTCCCTTGCTGAAGCGGTCGGAAGAAATTTCCACCACTGTCCAAATCTGACGGCACATTAGCAACAACATCGCAGGAGAAAGCAAATATTTTTGCAGAGATGTTCGCAGCAAACTCTACTTCAGATTTCCAAGGAAAAGTGCCACCAGACATTCTACCGGTTGAGAGTCGAATGCCCGAAATCGTCTTCCGTCAACGCACTATCAGACGAATTTTGCTTGGTCTCAGAACGAATAAGGCTAACGGTCCTGATGAAATTCCACCCCTTATCCTCAGAAAATGTGCACAAGAATTAACACCGATTCTCTGCAAGTTGTTTACCGTCTCGTACAGGTCGGGTATTTTTCCATCATGCTGGAAGACAGCTAGAGACAAACAATCCCCGAAAAAGGGTACAAGAACCTGCCCAACAACTACAGGCCCATTGCCCTGTTATCAGTAATCTCCAAAGTGATGGAGAAAGCCATCAACATTGAGCTTATCAAATATCTGGAGAGCTCAGGAATCATCAATGATAGACAATACGGCTTTCGTCTCCAAAGATCTACTGGAGATCTTCTTGCCTACGTCACAAATTCATATCAAGCTTCATTATGAAAACACGGGAAATCTCTAGCTGTCACGTTGGACATATCGAAAGCATTTGACCTTGTTTGGCACGAAGGACTCTTCCACAAACTACCATCATACGGCTTACCACCTCAGCTATGCCATCTCTTACCGAGATTTCTTTCAGGCAGATCGCTTCATGTGGTGGCGGACGTTGTATCGTCTGATACCATTGGCATCAATTCCGGAGTGCCACAAGGATCAATTTTGGCACCAACATTATTCCTTTTTCATATCAATGATCTTTTGGGAGTAACAACTTGCCCCATCCACAGCTTTGCAGATGCAGAATTCCCATTTCCCCTCAAACTAAGAACTCACGGCGCAGGCAGGTCAATGCTGTCAATGAAGACCTTGCTGAAATCACAGCCTGGAGAACCAACAACCTAGTCGAATTCAACGCCACCAAAACTCAAGCCTGTATTTTCTCTAGAAAGGTGGAACTCAGTATGCCCGACATTGTAATGTCTGGCACCACCATCTCCACCAAGACCACCATATCTATGCTCGGTATTTCCATCAGCAACACTCTTCAATGAGATAATGATGTCAGATCCATCGCAAAAGCTACTTCACAAAAACTCGGATTCTTGTTCCGTGCGAAAAGCTACTTTACACCTCAACAGCTTCTCATGATCTACAGAGCGCAGATACGGCCTGTTCTAGAATACTGTTCCCATGGGGTTCAGCACCAAAACATACGCTGATGCTCTTAAATTCCTTCCAGAGAAGAGCTATTCGGCTGATGGGTGACGCGACACTCACTCACTCTCTGACATCATCGGAACACCGTAGAAAGGTCGGCAACCTTCCACTTTTCTATCGAGACTTCCACGGGAAATGTGCTTCGGAAATCTCTGCTATCATCGCTTCACTAACAATACCAGTCAGACAAACTAGACAAGCCCAGTCAGCACATCCTTTCGTTGTCAACCTCGAAAGATGTCGAACAGCACTTTATCAAAACTCCTTCATCCATAGAACGGCTAGGCTCTCGAATTCATTGCCTGAGGAAGTATTCCCAACAACATATAATCTCCAGAAGTTCCAAAAAAATTCCAATACCTACCTCCTATCCCTATCCTCCCTAGGAACGCATGATGTTCTTTGAACATTATAGGGATTCCCTTTCGGGCGCTCCAAGCGATAAAAAAAATAAATGTTAGGTTTTACGAATTAATTAGTCTCATAGGGGTAGGTATATTATTCCAATATTATCTACTATCCCGTTCCTTAACTCATATATAAAAATGTCGCCCTGTAGATCATACGCGCAAATTGCTCGTTAAATGGTTTTTTTTTTCTCACCTCTCGCGAAGAGAGGTCTCCCGATAGCCCGGGCGAAAAACACTCAACCGATGTAAAATATTAGCGGAAAACTCAGTGCTGGTATTTTTCGTGTGCTCACCCCATCAGTACAATACAGTCCACTCCGAAGTAGCCAATGGTTGAGTGGAAGTCAGCCTGAAGCCAAATCAACGGATTATTCCAGGTAGGAAAAAGGGCCTGTTTGACGATTCGAATCAATTATATAGGGTGACTGTCTTTCTTTGATCAAATATCTCACAAATCTCTAAAGGTATATATTAATGGATGCCACTGGTCCTTCCAGATCGTTTTCATCTCGGAAGAAATAGAAACCTGAAATATGATTGAGAGAGATATCTGTAGAAAATTGAACATCTATGGAGTAGAGATATATACAATTTAACGAAAAATAAGTCATTAGATTATTTACAGGAGTAATGTAGGTAGAAATTATCATACTCATAAATGCTTAGCTGGTATAGATTTTTTTCATTATTTTTATGTAGTGGTTCCCACGAAAAGGAATATCCTGTAATGTTCAGTGACAGTTTCTTTCAAATTATAGAAAGATACCCACTTTGAATATTGGTTTTCATCAATCATCATTGAATATTTGTTCAAGATAACATCCTGAAAATTCATGAATTTTATGGGTGTATTTTATATTGTCAAATTGCTTGTATTGAGCTAGTATTTTGGATATTGGAAGTTTCGAATAGGGCATTGACATTTCAGTTGTAGCTCAATTGGTTGTACTGTTGAAATTTAAATAATAGAATGAGTATATCTCTGCACCTCAAGTAGCAAATTCATATTCGACTTGACTGAAACTCATGCCTGAAGAACCTGATGGTGACATCATGGTTCTGGTCATCATCAGAGATACTCAAACTGGATGAGTAGGAATTTCCAACGTCTAAAAGCTAAGTGTACTGAAAGAAGCTTGTAAACAAGTAGTAAATATGAGACTGCGAAACTGCAAAACTGCGAGACTATATAATAATAATAATAATAATAATAAGAATAATAAGACTGCTCGAAGGTGAAATGCGGGGGTACATTCCTGCTTACTCCGTGTGGAAGATTTCTCAAAACATAAGCCGTGACATGAGGTGAGCCCATATGTAAAACCCCAATATTAGTAGAGATGACATCAGAACCTTGTCTCAGAACGAAGAGCCAACACTTGTGGTGAGCAAAAAAATACATACCTCTGGTAGATTGCGGGTTCTGCCAGATCAAAAATGAAGAGGCAGAGAAGTGCTACGTGTCTCAAGACATTCTCTAATAAATACGATAAAAAAATCATAATTCGATATTGGAATGCGAGTTTGCAATGTTACCGTCTTGTCAAAACATAATTTTTCCTAAATAAGGTTACGTAGCTGATACAAAATCATCAGGATCTCCCAAGAGCCTGACGTGCCAACCGAAATGACTTCTTCGGAAAAGAGAACTTATCCCTGACATTGAACTCGTCAAAAGTCTTGAAAATGACAGAACATTTGAATTTATCCCGCAACTATCTACCAATGACCAAATAAAATGTCTCGGCACAGTATTCCTTATTGGCTATATACTGGGGCTGGTGCTGATACTGGTGAAACGTGGTTTATCCTTGAACCATTTCAAGACCCTGCTTCGCCTCGAGCTAGATACTCACGAACATAACGGTAGACCCAAAATATCTCGTTCCGGAACAAGAAAGAAGTGATAGCGACTAGTGAAGAAGAATTAATATCATAACCAAAACGTAAACATTGAATGATTCAATTCCAATACGGAACAAAAAGAAATAACACATAAAATTTATTTACAATAGTTATAGATGCAAGCAGTTCTTGAATCAAACCTTTTTTCGATTTCCATAATTCATTAAAGAGAACAGTGTGTATTCGAACTAAGTAAACAGTATGTATTCGAAAGGGAAAAGTAAGGTTCATTTACCTTCAATGTATCAATGTATGTCTGGTGTTTGATTTTCAAGTTATATTATGATATTGACTGATTTGTTATTCCCTTTTGTTTCATTATACTTTCTGTGAGTATTTCCTTGGATACAAGATGAGAAGTGATTGGATTCTTCAATGGAAATGTATACATTCAGCAGAGTATATTCACCGAGTTTCTCTATCATTTTAGTAAAAAATAACATGCAAAAGGCAACGTTTGACATTGGCAAGTTATATTAGCGATCCAGCAAACAGCCCTCATTTGAAACACCCTGTATACAATTTATATCCTCGAATAGTCTCACCTTCCATTGAGTAGATGATTTATATCTTCTCTCAGTTCCTCATTCTCGCTGAGTATGAAACAGAATTTCTTGATAGCAATATCCAATCTTCTCTGCAGAATAAAGATAGATTTATGACCACTATTCAAACGGTTTTTATAATCTTGATCCGTCACCACAGATTTTGGCCGTATGTTCCTGATATCATCGCTCATCTATAAAGTAGAATAGATTGAAAAAACTGAATTTTTGGAATCATTTACTATTCAATAAGAAGTTTCATTGGTTGAATGGATAGATTTCAACCTGATTTATCCAATAGAGTATTTATTATTTGTTATATGCATATGGCAGCTTTTCATTCGTGGGCATCACGAGTCCATTTCAGAATTTCATTTTGGAGAGTATTTATAATTTTTTATATGCATATGGCAGCTTTTCATGGGTGGGCATCACGAGTCCATTTCAGAATTTCATTTTGGAGAGCTATATCATCATTTTATCTTCGAATTATTCAATACAGAAATCAAGAAGAGGCGCTACAAAAATATATTCAATAACAAACTGAGAGATTATCTGGAAAAAATAAATACTTATAATGCAGACTTCCATCTAATAGTAGGAGATATAAAAGTCAATATTCTTCAGGAGGATGATGAAACATGAATTCAAGTTCCACTCAACAGTTAACTGTTCAACCAGAGAAACCAGTGGCACGTGCCTCGACCATATATTCCTCAAAGGAAAAAATGATTCAATAGATGCCATTTCATGCAAAATACAACTTAACATAACCGATCATCGTGCAGTATCTGTCAATATCCCAGTCCAATACGACAAAATCAAAATACAAACAAACCTTGTGAAAAAAATTATTGATCATGAAAATCTCAAAAAAGACCTGAATAATTATAATTGGGTAAACTGTTATTTCATGAATGATGTAAATGGAAACAGTGACTTTATTGTCAATATACTGAAGAAAAAAATTGATAACGATACTAAGATAATAAAAACTGAACACAAAGAACTAAAGAGAACACCGTGGATAACCCCAGGCTTAGTTAAATGTACTAGTATAAGGGATAGGTTATTCAAAAATCTGAAAAAACATCCAGACGATTCACTCCTTAAAAATGTAAACTTCAGATACCGTAATACATCAAGTAATCTGACTAAAAATGCAAAAAAGGGTTATTATATGAAACAGATAAATAATGGAGGCAACAGTCAATCAATTTGGAAAGTAGTGAGAAAAATTTGCGGTAGCAAACAAAGCACGATAACAAAAATCAAAGACCAAAATGATACACTCACGGAAAACTGTGAAGAAATTGCTAATCTGTTCAATTTACATTATGCATCTGTAGGAAAGAGGCTCGCTGAGCAAATACATAAACCTCCAATGAATCCACGTCCAAGGAAGATCAACAATTGCTCTATTTTTCTCGACCCTGTGACAGAAATTAAAATTTCTGAAATAATTACTAATCTGAAAAACAGAAAAGCCCCAGGAATTGACCAAATTTCTGGTGATACATTGAAACACATTCAATCACAAATAGAGAAGCCAATAACCTACTTGGCCAACAAAATGATCGAAACAGGTCAATTTTCATCTTCATTAAAAATAGGTATCATTAAACTAATATTTAAAGCAGGAGATCAGAACGAAATAGCAAATTACCGACCTATAACGTTAATTACTTACCTTGCAAAACTCCTAGAAAAAGTGATAAAATCTCGCCTAGACAAATTCATCAAGAGGCACACATTGATTTCGAAAAACCAATTTGGATTCAGGGAGGGCAAATCAACTTCAGATGCAATCTGTTCCTCAACATCAAAAATTTACACAAGCTTGGACAGTGGAAAGGTATCATTAGCAGTATTTCTAGACCTAGCAAAAGCTTTTGATACTGTTGACCACAACCAGTTACTCGATACCCTCTTCGATCTCGGATTTAAAGGCATTTTGCATGACTTATTGAAATCATATATAACCGGTAGAGATCAATATGTAGTAATCAATGAAAGTATAAATGAAAAAAAAAAAAAACAAATTGAATACGGTGTACCCCAGGGTACCGTCCTGGGACCCATCCTATTCACATTGTACATTAACAACATACTTGACATGAATACAGCTGGTACCATTTCGAGTTTTGCTGATGATACTATACTTTCAATAGAAACAGTTCAAGATGACATGAAAAATGTAATAGATTGTTTCAACCAGAAACTACTTACCATAAATTTCGATAAAACTTGGTTTTTTCCATTCTCTTGCTACAAAAATAAATTACCCGACTATAACTCATTGAATATCAACAACCATGGACATACAATGAAAATTAATTTTTCGAATCATGTGGAATACCTCGGAATTTACATAGATTGTCATATGAGGTGGGATGTCCACATAAGTAAAAGTATGCAGACTCTAAGGAGTTTCTTGTTCAGATTCAGATACCTCAAAAATATCAAGGATATTGCTCATCTCAAAATAATTTACTTTTCATTTATCGAGACACGTCTGTCATATAGGATAATTGGCTGGGGTAATGCAGCAAGCTGTTATCTTAGAAATCTAGAAGTATTACAAAAGAGGTTTATCAAGTTAGTCTTCGAAAAACCTTCTCTTCACCCTGCTGACAAGCTATTCAGAGACACAAACATTATGGACTTGCGACAGATATACTTTCTGAGAGTAGTCATGGCACACCACAAATATAAAAATTATACGCAAATACCTAATCACACATATTGCACAAGATCTAAGCAACACAATCTATTGAAAACTGCATTCTCTTCTCAAACGATTGGACAAAGAGGATACACACATGATTCAACACGTTTTTACAACAAGCTTTCACAAAAAACGAGATGTATGAACTCAAACAACCAATTCAAAAAAGCATCCAAAGCGTGTATCCTACAAGTTGTCAGAAAATTCATACACAACGTAAATGATCGAAATAAATTTGTTTAAATTAAAATCAATTTATTGAATAAATTCAATAGCGGAGAAACACGTTACAAGTCATTCATTTCATTTGTTTGAACTATAATTTTTTTTTTTCATTTAGGGTTAGGATATTATTATTAGAAAGGGAGAATTATACTCATAGTGTATATAATCAAATTTGTTCGTTCCTTGTAATTCAGCCTTCAACATTTAAATGTTTTGATGTTTTTATGTTTTTAATAATTCAGTACTTATATTATTGTTCACTACAATACTTGTACAAACATCTATTCACAGCTCACATTGTTGATAGCATTCAGAAACCCACGTGCTGGCTATGCCTTAGTGGGATCTTGTGTTTACTTCACAACTAGAGTTTTTCTTTCATTACTTGTACATTAATTGTATCATATCACTGTGTGAATAAACATTATTGTTATGAACATTCATTGCATCAATTAGTAAAAATAGAAAAAAAAACTCAATGGGAGAGACCACTGAGATTTTGCAGAACGACATCTATATAGCAAAAGAACACAGGTGAATATAATTCCGAATTTTTTCATTCATACTAGGACGATTCACGCCCGATTGTGTGTAGGGTTACTTCCTCATTGGTTCACAACTATATTTCAACATTTCTTGCTGAGTTGGCCGCCTCTTGCTATGTTTTCCTTTTTTCTCTCAGTATTTTTCCCACTACATTGTCCCATATTTCTCTTGGACGTCCTCGTATTTTCTAGATCGCTGTTTTGGCTTCCCATATCTGTTTGACTGGTACCTTATCTCCTATCCTTTCTAGATGACCCCACCATCCTAGTTGTCGCTGTTCTATGTACCTTCCTAGGCTCTCTATGTTCAAATCTTCACCTCTTTTTTCAATTTCTGATTATATCCATCCTTGTAACTCCTCTTACTCTTCCGAGAAATTTCATTTCCATTGTCTGAATATGGCTTTTGGTACATTCATTCTTGTTTGCTTTGTTGTTTCTTTCCTATTCAGAAATCGTTTGTTAATTGCGTAATTAACCTCATTTGCTTTTAATCTTCTATTATTTGGATCTATTTCTTGCTTTCCATTTTCCTCTGATATTATATCTGAATATGGAAATTTGTCAACTTTTTCTATTTGCACTTCATCTATCTGTATCTGTAGTTCTTTTTATTCTCTTACCACTACTATCCCTCCAGTTTTCTCTGTGTTCATCTTCATATTGCATATTTTCTCAGAGTTTTGTTCCATGTTGTGAGGTTTTCTTGTAAGCCTTCGTCGTTATTTGTCAAGATTGTCATCAGCAAAGGCACATTCATTTATTTTCATTTTGTCTGAGTTTCTATATCCTCTGTATAATGGTGTTGTTGACATTTTTAACTATTTGGTCCCTGAGTATAATCAACAGTAAGGGGCTCAGCTCCCCTCCTCGTCTTAGTCCATCTCTTGTGACAAATACTTTTGATATACTGTTATGGTTCATTGCTATGTTTTGTGTATTTTTATTTAAGCATTCAATTGACTCAACTAATTGTTATCATTATTTCGTTTCATTAGATACTTTCATAATTCATTTCTTGAGGAAGCTTTCTCCATGTCCGAAAATGCAATATATACTTCTTTTCCTGTACTCATAGTCCTACTTAATATCTCTTTTATTGTGAACATGTGATTCTGTACTCCTCTTTCCTTCCTGAATCAACTTTGTGATTGGCTTAATGTTGGTTCTATAATGTTTCTCAGTTTTGTTCAATACTACTTTCACAATCTTTCAACATAAAAAAGGGATTGCATTTCATTGGGAAAAAGAACAGGAAATATCTTTTCAAACTTTGAAATCATTGTTGGGCAAAGCACCCATACTTCAATATCACTTCACAGTAGATCTAATTATAATTTCTTGTGATGCATCTCAATATGGTTGTGGTTCAGTCTTACTGCAAAATAATGCACCTGTAGCTTATGCATCAAAGGCTTTCACTCCAACTCAACAAAGATATGCTGTAATAGAGAAGGAAATGTTAGCAATAACACATGCTTGCTTGAAGTTTCATCAATAGGGTAGAGGTGGGGAATGACAGCCGCCTAAGCTATTTTGTGAATATTTTCTTTATTTGTTTTACAAAGATGCTGAAAAATTGTCAAATGTAAGTTAGTAACCTGAGGTATGAAATGTATATTATCAAATTGAAAAATTAACGAAACTAAGAAAAATACAAGGCAGTTTTTGAACTTATTCAGTGGCCGTCATTACCTTCCACGATGAGGTAATGGTGGCCTAGGCCGTCATTGCCCAGTGTTTGAATGTACATTATATTTCAAAGGCAAAAGTCACAAATATACTGGTCACGTGCATTGTCGGCGCAAGCCTCATATTCCCACTGGCCACACACTACGCATCTTATCCACAACTCCCTGTCTTTTCCAATATCACCGCATATGATACAAATATCTTCATTAACTTCTTTTTCGCGCTAGTCATCATCATATTCATCCTCATCTTCGGGAATATTGTCCGATGTTAACGCCAATGCCTCTTTGCAGGTTCTTTCAGGGTTTTTTCTTATTGTAGTAGTTGTTTGCGTTTCATTGGGTTCATCTTCATCTGCAAGCTTCCGTTTAGTACCTTTAGTTTTTGCATCTTTTTTCATCTTATTCTGTAGTTTCCTTTCTGCTTTCTCATCCAACGTTGTTTTCTGTGGAGTGGATGTAAATATCTCTGAATGCTGTTTCCTGTTGATGCATTGTTGCTTCTTTGCTGTTTGTATTCCTGATGGTCCAGGTAATGGTATCAAATCAGTAAATGAAACTCCAGCTGATTCAATTTCGTTCTCCTCATTATGGTCATGAACTTCTGAAGTCACTTCATTTCCATCTTGAACAATGTCATTCCGATTACAGATAGTGCCATTGATATCAGCAGCTTGTACAGGAGCAAGAGCTACAGAGCAAAATCTTCTTCTGTGAAACGGTCGCGATTCAGTGGGAATATTCCTGTTTCCTGAAAACCTTTTATTGCCTTTTCAGGTGTAGCCACTCGGCTATAGGCTATGTTGAATATCTAGTGATCCTTTCACCTACATGACTTCTTAATTAGTTGCTGCACTCCGTATTATAATCAGTCTTCAGTGCAAAATAAAAAGAAACGTCTAGAGGTTGTAGGCGGTGTGACGTATGTGGTGGGATAGTTACAATGATGATTCCATTTTCTCTACAGAAAGTGTAGGCTTCCAGCGTACAATGCGTGGAATGGTTGTCAACGAGTAGTAGCACTAGATCTTCTTTGGTCGCTTTAACAAATTTTTGAAAATGTTCGAGCCAATGGATGAACACAGTTTAGGTGATCCACCCATTATCAGTGCAGCAATAGAGTGCTGCTGGTGGACCATTTCTCTTAAGTTGGGCGTTCATTCTTTTCCGTGCGCAAATAAATAATGGTGGTACATAAATGCCAGAAGCGCTCATCGCACACATAATAGTGGTTGTTTTTCCCCTTTCAGCACTAATTATGAAGCCTACTCTTCTTTGTCCTTTTTCTGCATAAACTTTAACTGGTCTCTGGACCGTTGTGATTCCGGTTTCATCGGCATTAAAAATTCTTGTTGGTTGAAAGTTATATTTGTCCAGCACAATGGTTAGATTGTCATAAAAGCGAGTCACCTCCTCCCTGTTAAAAGCCGTTACACGGTTAATGCTAGTAGCCTCAGGTTTTCTCAGACTAATATTGGGATTCCTCTTATGAAATCATCTGAGCCACGCTTTACCAGCAGACTGATTGTCTTTTGAAAACGGATTTTTAATTTGATTTTCTCTCGCATAAGCAAATGCACATCGCTTAATTTGGTCTGGAGATATGCCGTTAAATAGTTTCTCGTCTTCTCTCGTGAATACTGCATGACGACCCATATTAGGCCCTGAAGCATCATTACCATTTCGAATTCTGCTCTGAAGAGTGCTCCTAGCAATACCAAATGCCCTAGAAACATCCCTGATTCTCCTACCATCACGAATGGCATTTAATGCGGCTTCCATTCGTTCTGAAGACCACATGGCTTTTGTGGTTTTTCTAATATATTTAGTTGGCATCTGTAATTGAAATATTTGTCTCAATACAGCGAATATGCTAATGGCTACATTGCTATAACATTCTCCGGCGCGCAGTGAGGTAATGACAGCGGGCCGCCATTACTAGCACAGCGCTGGCTGCGATTACCCGAATTTAACCTATAAATATGTTTCCATCGACATCCTCAACAATCAGTAAATTGAGCCAAAATTTATTATACTGGAGTAAAGTAGGTAACATATACATCATGCGACTATATTTATCTTAATTATATACTTGAGAACAATGTTGATAAACATACCTTCCAAAACTTCGTTACACTATATCAACGCACTCGAAAATTTGTTGACGCATTTCTCATATCTGTCAAGCAGTTTACAGTTACACCATTTCAGGCACACATTTCAAATTGTTTTAACAGATGGCGCAGCATCTTACAATAACTAAAATATTGTTCATCTTCGAAATAACTGACGGCCGTGATTACCTTCAGGGCCACCATTCCCCACCTCTATTGTTGTGGTACGAAATGATATCACCATCGAAACTGACCACAAACCCCTTGTAAACATATTCAACGAACCACTTATTGATGCTTCAGCTAGATTACAGAGAATGTTAATAATGATACAATCATATAATTTCAAAATAGTATATAAAAAAGGATAAGACATGTTTTTTGCTGATGCTCTAAGTCGAGCATTTCCGAAATGTATTGATGACATATTTGAAAAGAAATGCACAGAGATTGAATCACAACTATATCTGATAACTGAAAAAACCACTATGTCAAACTATAAACTCAGGGAATTTCAAAAAGAAACTTCAAATCACCCACAGCTAGTAAAGCTGATGGATCTGATTAGTAAAGGTTTTCCTAAAAATAGATGTCTTGAAAAAGAGTTGAAACAATTTTGGCCAATTGAACATAAACTCACACATGCACAAGGCCTAATTCTAAAAAATGATAAGGTATTGGTTCCTAGAAATTTGGGAGAAGAAATACTAGATGAACTGCATTCGTCACATCAAGGTATAGAAAAAACAAAATTGTTAGCTAGGGAATATTTTTTCTGGCCAAGTATGTCAAAAGACATAGAAAATAAAATTGAATCTTGCAATATTCGCTTATCCAATAGAAAATATAATACTAAAGAACCACTTATACCTCACCCTATACCAGGTGGACCTTGGGAAAGAGTAGGCATAGATTTTTTCAAATTCAAAGATCAAAATTACATTTTACTAGTAGACTATTACTCAAAGTTTATTGAAATATCAGTTCTGCAAACGCAAACTAGCAACGAAGTGTTCAAATTTCTAAAACAAATATTCTCTAGACACGGAATCCCGAAAACAGTCATATCTGACAATGAACCATGTTTTTCCTCACAAGAATTCAAAAACTTTACCAACGAGTGGAAATTTTCTCATAATACTTCTAGTCCTCATTTTGCTCAGTCAAATGGCCAAGTTGAAAGGTTTGTACAAACCGCGAAAAATCTCTTATCAAAATGTTTGAATGCAGGAAATGACCCATACCTATGTCTTTTAGATCTCCGAAATACACCCATTTCAAACAAAATTCCAAGTCCAGCACAATTACTATATAGCAGAAAATTGAGAACTTCTTTGCCAATATTAGACACAACTACTACCCAAAGTTATTCCAATGAAACAAGTACAATCCAATTTGGAAGAAAAGCAAGACCTCCAGAAAGAATATTTTGATAGAAATACAAAAGAATTACCAATTTTATGCCTAGGAGATGAAGTAAGAGTACAAAATCATGACAAAAATAAAATGAAAGAAAAGTGGATAGACGGTATAGTGGTAGAACAATTGCCACAAAATAGATCATACAAAATTAAATTGAAAAAGACAAATAATATTGTAACGAGAAACAGAAAAGACCTAGTAAAAATAAAAAATGCTCTTCCCAAACCAAATTATACAGCTTTGAATGAAACTCATAATTCCATTAAATATGATGAAATCCCTACCATTAATGAAGAAAATGAAACTCTTAATGAAACCAATGATAATGAGACTCAAAGTAGTACTAGTAGCGATGATCAAGAACTCTATCATAATGATAATGATTCATTAAGCTCAATTGATGATTATTTAAGCATTGAAGGTTCAATAAGTCACAGTAGTCTGAATGAAACTGTAACAGTCAATTTGCCCCAACAAACTAGAAGAAAGCGCACTGTAAAACCTCCTCATAGACTTGACCTTTAAAAAAAAGGGGGAAATGAGGAGAGAATTAGTGATAGGCAAAGATGTAATTTTAGAGAAAGGTTAAACATGCAATTTTAGTTGTTACTTTCATTTTTAACTTAGGTGTCATCAATTTAAATGTATTTGTTTGTATACTTGTTTCATATATCAATATTATATAACATATAAAATCGATTTTATAAAACAATCAGCTTGTCATATGCCTTGTATTATACCTTGTATTTTAGTGTATTTGTTAGTTGCTTGAATTTAAAATATTGTTATATTATTTGTTGAAATTCTTAAAGAAGGGAGATGTCACATATTCTATGTTCTATGTCAACAACGTTGTTAGTCAATCATGTCATGTCAATAATGTCAATGTCAAGGTGATTCAATAAAAGCCTAGCGCAAGAGGACTTCCTCTCTCTCGTCACAGACATCCGATATGATAGTATCTATCTGAATCCTGAATCTACATCCTAATTGTTAACTAGTGTTGCAATGATTACACCTAGTTCGTGAAGTAAAAGTATATTCGACAGATCGAATGACAAAAGTTCGAATTAATTAATCAATGACATTCATTGTCTCCATTGTATATAGGGTGATTGGTTCATCCTAATACCTCCCCCCGTTGAAACTAAACATAATCCTGAAATCTTTGTGGACACCGATGAACTCGTCTTGGTCTTGAAGTTTGGGGAACACCATCTTGAATTGGGTCCCGATTTTGATTATGGCATATCTGAATTTGGGATTGTTGTGATTCACATGGTGATGATAAAATTTGCTGCATGTTCTGGTGTGAGTTAGCCTCATCACTTTCCCGTGTATCTTGAGTCCTTCCTTCATCGATTAATTCAGTTGTTTCAATACGAGGTAAACTGAATGCATCCAATAAAGTATTAATGGAAATATCACTCGACTTTTGAGTGGAAGTAGATGAAGTACAAGTTCTGAATTTCAATTGGTTGGCATGAGATCTAATAAGTCTATGTTCTTCTACCAAAAATACATTATACATGACACTCCCAATCCTTTCGATAATGTTTCCTTGTACCCATTTCTCTCCATTCCTGTTACGGATTTTTGCAAAAACTTGCTCTCCTACCGCGAAAACTCGTTTCTTTGCTCCATGTTTTTGATTGAATTGTCTTTCCATTGTAACATTTTTTTCTGTTTTCTCTTCTTCAGTACATGGAATGAGTAAATCCAGAAGTGTTCTAGAATTTCTACCGAACATTAACTGTGTTGGGGATTTACCTTCTGGTCCGTATCTATTAGGTGTCGTTCTATATGTGTGCAGAAAGGTCAAGATATTTTCTTTTGTAGTCCCCTCTCCTTTCATCTTTTTCAAGGCGCGTTTAAATGTATCGACGAATCTTTCAGCCAAACCATTTGATTGTGGATGGTAGACTGGTGTACGTACATGCTCAATTCCTCTTGACTGGCAAAACTGCTTGAAAATGAAACTTGTAAATTGTGTACCATTATCAGATACCAATGTTCTTGGAAGACCAAACGTAGAAAATACTTTATTGAGTTTCTTAATTGTAGCTGTACTGGTGATGAACTTCATTCT